AAAGCTTACACTATTATTAAAGTAGCCAATATAAAGTATATCAGATTTAATATTTATCACAGTAATTTAAAAATTTTTTAATTTCAAAATATGTAGAAAAAAATTATAATTATTTTACATGAGAAAAATTGTCTACTTCTTAAAAATAAAAGAAATTTGGAGCTGGAGAGTTGGCTCAGCTGTTAAGAGCACTTCCTGCTCTTGCAGAGGACCTAAGTTCAATTCCCAGCACACACATAACAGCTCCCAACCATTTATATCACAACTATGTCTAGTTCCAGGGGATGTGATGACCTCTTCAAATTATAATTATTTTACATGAGAAAAATTGTCTACTTCTTAAAAATAAAAGAAATTTGGAGCTGGAGAGTTGGCTCAGCTGTTAAGAGCACTTCCTGCTCTTGCAGAGGACCTAAGTTCAATTCCCAGCACACACATAACAGCTCCCAACCATTTATATCACAACTATGTCTAGTTCCAGGGGATGTGATGACCTCTTCTGGCCTCTGCAGTCACTAGGCACCCATGAGGTACACATACAGACATGTAGGCAAACAAACTATACACATAAAAATAAAAAATACAATTTCTATTGAGAGAAAAAAGAAATTTATTCATGTACTATAACTATTAAATACTGTGTTTTATGTCTTTACATCAACTAAAATGTTAGATTAAACACAATACCTATGCAACAGAATTCATGAGCCATGCTTTTAAAGACAACTTACTTTTTCTTCAATTACAAAACTAGATTACAAATAGAACACCCTCTATATATGAATTTAAGGAGCTTAGTTTTATGTTCAATGGAGGCAATTCAATAAATCAAAATTTTGTTAAGTCCAAGTATTAATCATTTATTCATGGCCTGCCTTCTAAAAATTCACAACCAATAGCTCTCACATCATCTTCAATGTACTCTCTAGCAGAGGCACTCTATATTTCACTAACACTTTTACCAGCTTTGCTCTTTTACAATCACCAGACTAGGCATTTATTTAAAACTGAACAGTGTTTATTTGCATACCTTCATCCTCTGATTCTTCCGCAGAGTCCTCATCTTCACTGGCAGTATCTTCATAATAACTGTCCTCACTCTGAGAGTCTGTAATTTCACCCTCTTCAGGCTCACTATCACTCTCTCTGATTTTCTCATCTTTAAAGGACGTTGAATTAGCAATGTTCTCATTAACAGGAGATTCTACAATATTTCTACTACTTGAAACAGTGAATGCTGAGGGACTACTTTTGTGATGAATGTCTATTTTGGCCTTCTTTTTCGCATTTGTAGGCTTTTCTTCCTCACTGCAGTTTATAAACTCAATACTGCAGGCTCTTTGATCTTCTGAACTCAAATCCTGGAAAGAGGAAGACAGGGAAGTAAGTGAAAACAGGAATTAATCATGCTAAACACCACGATCTGACACTACTACATCAAGTTTTGGTGACTTGAAGAGATGTACACACAGTGGCAAGTCAGAATCTGCACCTGCTTCTTACTGACATCTCCTTCCTACCATCCACACTGAGAGCATTACAGTTACTGCTGACTCCCTTCACACCATCACATGGAATCAATATCCAGAGGCCAGACACGCCAATTACAATTACATCCTGACCTGTCCCTCCATCTAAACTCCCAATACTCCCAGCCCAGGCCCTCATCACCTATTACCTGGACCATGTAATAAACTATAAGAAAGCTATATAGTAAAAATATAATGCAAGTCTTATTCATACTTTTAAATTTTCTAGTAGTCACATTTAAAAATGTAAGTTAATTTGATCATTTACTTTCTTTTTTGTACTAAGAATTCAAAATCTTATACATAGAGGATGTCCTCATGTATACCATCTTCATTTGAGTCCACAATCACATGAAGCTAGTGTCTACCTTATGAGACAACACAAAAGTACATCAACTTTAAATTTTCATTTGAGCATTTAACCAAGAAAATAAATATAAAATATAGAAATGTTTGAACATATAATATGGACTTAAAGATCGAAACATCACAAATGTAGCAAAATTACAATTTTGCCAAAATTGAACACTATGGATTAGCTGGCTGGAAAATATACAAAAATTTAAAGTATAAACAAATTACTCACATGCCTTTTATTCCAAAAATTCAACTAACCTAAGCCTTTTATTATTTATTTCTTGGTGTGCCTTATGAAAAATGAACAATTTTTAAATTAACAAAAGTATTTTTTACCATGCACTTTTTTGTTTGTTTGTTTGAGACTGGGTCTCCCTGTAGCCCCAGCTGTCCTAGAACTTAATACATAGATCAGGCTCACTTTGATCTTATAGAGATTAGTAGCCTCTACCTCCCTCCTCAGTGCTGGGAGTAGAGGCATGTGCCACCACACCCTGCCATGCACATATTTTAAATTATGTATACAATGAATGACTAAATCAAGGCAATAAAGATGTATGTTGCATACTTTTTGCCAACACTTACATTTATTCTCACAGTGACATTCAAAGAGTGTAATTCAAGGGTTTGGGGACATTGCTCAGCATTGCTCCTGAGTCCCATTTGCAGCACACACACAAAAGCAACACATTGTTCTTAACCATAGTTGCTATTTTGTACAATAAACAAATATATTATTTAAACTTGGAAGAAGTAAAGTTATTTTCCTTTTGGTATATAACTCTAAATTTTCTTTCTCCCACAAAGCAATGTAATAAATGAATTCAGATGTAATTTTATTTAAAAAAATGAAAGCAGTTTATACAGACACTTTAAAGCAGCATTAATTATTTGGAAATAGGCTGATAAACTATATATATTCTCAGCAGTACAAACTCACCAAGGAGAATAACAAAGGCAAGGTGCTAAAAAACTATTAGGAGTTTTATAGGACATGTGATTGATATAGTCAACATCTTTACAAAAAAAAAAAAAAACACTTGCAATTCTATTATCTACTTCATCCATATTTATCAGAAATGCATTTTTAAGTTTACAGCTTAATAGGTAAGAAATTACTCAGCCTAGAAATTTGAATCTGGATGTGTCAACATACAAACTGTATTTTTCTTTTGTGAATTTTACAGGAACGTCAACTTACCAATTCAGGGCCTGAATGTTATAAATTAAACAATGCAAAATATTTTATATACCCTAAACCTACTTCCTTCAAATTTTATGAAATACCACCTATTTCTAGTGCCTGAGTTTGTTAAAAAAAAAAAAAAAAAAAAAAGCCCATGTTTGTGCATTTGAACATTCTTCGGTTTTTAAGATTCTGCTATCTTAACAGATATACCTGAAACACAAAGCTATAGAATGATGCTTGATTTCATAAAATTTTGCCTAATTAATGTTATTAAAATACTATAATCTTGGGGCTAGAAAGTTGGTTCAGTGGTTAAGAGCACTGGCTGCTCTTGCAGAGGACCTGGGTTCTATTCCCAGCACCCACATAGAGGCTAACAATCATCTGTAAACTCCACAGTTCTAGGGGATCCAACGCCTTCTGACCTCCACCAGCAATGCATGACATGGGTGCACTTAGATACATGGAGGCAATATACTCATACACATAAAATAAATTTTTACTTTAAAAAAAGACTGTAATCTTTAAAAATTAAGGCATTACCTTTTCTTCACTTGCTGCAGAAGAATCCAGATCCTTTTTTCGCTTCCTCAGTTTTTTATCTTTACTTGGTTTTGTGCTAGAAGTCTGATAGGGTTGTAAATCTACTCGAGAGTGAAATTGGTATCGACCACTTTCCACATCACAGTAATAATAAATCCCAGTGGAAGGATCATAATATAGTTGATTTTCCTTTCAAAGTCAAGAAAACAGTAAGTTCTATTCATGTACAATGAGAGAAAATAAAAAATAAGCAACAAAAATACCAAATACATTCAAATATAGTAAATAACTGTTTAACTATAAGAAGATAATGAATTAAAGACAACAGAATGAAAAATACTTTTTAATTTAAAAAAAATACTACTTAATAACTACAGTAATTTTCCTAGTGTGAAAATACATAAATCTAAATTGAATCAAATAAAATTGCCACTATTGGATGGTGTTATACTTTATAAAGAATAGCAATTTCATATGATTTAACTTACCACATTAACAAAAAATGGCAAGAAAAACTTTTGAAGGCACGAAAACTCAGGTACACACCAGAAAAACTGCATATGAAACCAATTCCAAACTCATTATCCTTAATGACCACACAGTAGTGCTCTGATAATAAAAACCCTCAAACCTCTTAATAATACAAATAAGAAAATCTGGGGGGAAAAAAAGAGTTCAACTTTTAAATACTATAATATTAACATTTTTTTATCTGTAAAGAAACTGATAAACAATAGTCTTCATCACATTTTTCTTTTTTTCTTGTTTTTTGAGGAGGTGGGGATCCAGTCAGGGCCTTAACATACTAAGGAAGTATTCTACTACCAAGCTGCATCCCTAGCCCACTAATGAACTCTATAATAAAGTGAAAACAAAGCCATGCACAAATGAATTTGGGCAGATTATGGATTAAAAACAAGATAAAATTATATAGCCATCTACATTTATTAGACACTGGACAGTACTCCTAACCAAGTTTTAAAGATTTTATTTTTTATTATGTGTCTATGTGTAGCTATGTGTATGTGAGCACAAGTGCCCATGGAAACCAGAGGCATCAGGTCCCCCTACAACTGGAGATACAGGTTATTTCAAGCCACCTGAGGTGGTTGTTAGGAACCCAGCTCAGATCCTCTGGAAAAGCAACAAGTGCTCTTAACTGCTGGACAAGCTCTCTAGCAACCATAACCAAGTTTTAGGTGAACAGTTTATATTTTATTTATATGATAAATCCATGCAGACCAGACATAAAAACATCTTACAGTGTACTGAGAATGAGCAACTAAACTTCCTGAAAAAGAAAAATTGATTTTCCTAATAATGAAACTATTGCACTTTATCATCTTTAATCCAGACATTATGGATATTTTATTTATTTATTTATTTATTTATGTATGTATGTATGTATGTACGTATGTATGTATGTACGCATGCATGTATGCATGCATGTATGTATATGAGTGCTTTGCCTACAGGTGTGTAAGTGCATGTGTCATGTAATACCTGGGGAGGTCAAAAGAAGACATCAGATTCCCTGGAGCTGCAGTTACAAACTGTTTTAAGTTGCTACATAGGTGCTGGGAATGGAACCCCGGTCTTCTGCAGGAGCAGTCAGTGCTCTTAATGGCTAAGCCATCTTTCCAGTCACCATTTTGTAAACTTCTTATAAAAATACTTCAACTTTTCACCATCCCTATCTTTTTTTTTTCAAAGCTTTTCATAATGGAACTTTTCTGACACTGGTGATTACACCAGGGCTGTGTACATACTACACTAGCCAAACACTCTCTGAACTTACATCCTCTAGCCTTTGTTGATGTTTTAGTACGATTATTAATTCTTAGGAAACTTCATACACGCATACAATGTGTTTTGAGCATATTCACTTCCACCACCCTCCCCCGAAAAATCTTGCCCAGTTTTTTGTTGTCATTGTCAGTTGTTTGTTTAGGCAACAGTGGATAGCCCTAGTCTTCGGTTTTCTGAGAAAGGGTATAGCTATTTAACCAAGCAGCCTGGACTGAACCTGGTGAACATGCTGCTTCTGACTGCCAAGTACTAGGGTTAGAGGCATGATGGACCATGATATCGAGCTAACTGAAAAAAACAAAAACAAAAACAAAAAAAATTTTATAACTTCATTTCTTTAAAATCTGCTAGGTCTACTGACCCAATATATAAGTATTATCAAAATATAAGAAAAATAATATTTAAAGTATAATTTTTTAAACTAGCATAATAAAGTGGTAAAAACAAAGTTCCCCATGAAATAAAATCTATCAAGTACAAGTACTTACAGATGTCAGAAAACAAGCCACAGAAAGGAAGGAAGAATGACAAAAAATAATGTCTACTTGAAAAGACCAATAAGAAAAATCCTTTCCACAAAAGACTTTAAAAGTCTACTACATGCAGATAGACAAATGAGTGAGATCTCTTTTCTTACCTAAAATGTTTAGTGTTATCATTATGTTTCCTAAATTAGGAATCAATAGTTCCAGTAACTGGAATGATGGACACCTGGTCCACTTTGGGAAATCGCATGCCTATATCCTTAAGGCTGATATATGTAGGTAAATTCCATCCTCACTTTCATCAAAACTGAGTAAAATTCAATGATTAGACTTCAATAGCCATAGAAATGCTTTACAAACCAACCACTTTATTTTCTGGTTCTGTCTTAGTCACTGGTCCACTATGTTTTTGATATCACATTAGCACCATGGTTTTCACTGTTAATTTATTTTTATTTTAATGTTTAGTTATTGGTTTATTCTTTTGCACTGCCTGAGATCAAATTTTGTCTTGTCAGCATCAGGCAAGTGCTCTATCACTGAGCTGTGTTTTTATCTCCAGCCTGATTCCTTAAAAGTATAGTATCTAAAATCTGCCAAATATAAAACACTAACAGTAAACATGTTACTGAGAATTCAGAAGTCTTTCTAGCTGGGAGAGGAGCATTTGTCTTTGGCCCCAGTTACTTTGGAAGCTGAGGAGGGAGGACCCCTTGAAATCAGAAGCTTGAGGACAGCATAGGGAATCAAGACCCTAGTTCCAAAAAATGAAAGAGGAAAGGAAGAGAGGAAGGAAGAAAGGGGAAGAAAGGAGGGTTGGTCTCCTGTGGCCGAGAGCCAATTCATAAAGTATTTTAAACAAATCTTTAAAATTTCACCCCAAGCCTAGAATTAATAATCTAACAACCTTGTAAATTCTATCATAAAATATTAGCATGTTATTTATACACAAAAGGTTAGATCTCTCTAAGCTGTAATAATCATTCTTATTTAACTAAACGCCTAGAAGCATTATAAGTGATTTTATAATTCTTTTGCCAAACAGCTCAGATTCAAGTGCTACTTTATTTTATTTTACATTTACTGATTTATTGGGAGGGTGGCAATCAGGGGACAACTTATGGGAATTGGTTATCTCCGTCTACCACAGAGTCCTAGAGATGTAACTCAGGTCCTCAGGTACAGCAGCAATCACCTTCCCCACTGAGCCATCTCACCAGCCCTCAAGCACAAATTTTAAAAGCCACTCCTTGCTTTTCTTTCTTTAGCTTGTTCTTAAATATCTGCTATCAGGCACCTAAATACACAACCATACAGCATTAAGAAGGTTTGCAATACTTACAGAATCATAATAGAAACCAGTGCTGTGGTCAAAATACAACCCAGTGTTTTCATCATAACTAAAACCAGTCTGTGACACGGCGGCTTCTGCTGCAGCTCTCAAACTTTCAGCTAATGATGAGCCTTCTAAGGCTGTGCCTTCTGCTGCTAAAGCAGATGCTGTCTCCTACAGAAGACACAATCACATCAAATAAGACGTTAAAAGCTAGCAAAATTTAAAAGAGTAGAATTAAAGTCATGCTTAATTTATGACTTTAACTTCTACTATGGAAAGATGTAGCCAATAATTATAATTTGAACCATTTTTAAAAATGTTTACAAGTGTGTTATTTAATTCTACCTTGATCCAGACTTTTCTTTTTTTGTTTGTTTTGTTTTGCTATGTTGAGGATAAAAGAAAAGGGGGCCTTGCCAAGCATGGTGGTGCACATCTTTAATCACAGAATTCAGGCAGAGGCAGAGGCAGGCAGATCTTCTAGGTCAGCCTGGTCTACGGAGGGAGTTCCAGGCCAGCTGGGGCTACAGAGAGACCCTGTATCAAAAAAAAACAAAAAACAAAAAACAAAAAAACAAAACCAAACAAAACCAAAGGGCCTTGCAACATACTAGGCAAATGCTATACCACTAAGCTGCATTATCCCCAGCACCTACTCAAAAGTTTTAGACACTAAAGTAAATCATTAACAATTATTCAAAAATAAATGTGATACCATAAGGAAGTAACCCATAAAATACAGACTTAAATATTTTATAAAACAATCAAACTGTTCAATAGAACATGTTCAAAGACAAAAACACTTTAAAATAGAGATGGAGAACACTATATATTAAATGAGATATATCACATAAACATTCATAATTCAAATGAATTATAAAGACAAATGTGAAATATATTCAGAAAAATCTGAAAAATGACAAGGTACTTAAGATAAGTTATCAGGGGTAGGGGGCAGGGATGCAGCTCAATGGTAGAGAACCTGCCTACCATGCTAAGAGGCCCTGGAATTGGTGGGTGAAGGGAGAAGAGAGAGAAAACCACCTTCTCATTTAGATGTAGCCAGGTTTGTGGTACAAGCCTGTAATACTAGATCTCTGGAAGGCTCAGATGGGAGGACTGCTTGTACCTAGGAATTCAAAGCCAGCCTAGGCACCGAGCGAGACCCCAAATCAGAATGAATGAATGAGTCAATAAACCAATGTAAGAATGAATAAGCAAATAAGTAGAGATGAATATTTTAAGAATGAACATGTTAAAACAGTATTATACTTATGTCTCAGCTCAAAAATTTTTTTTTTATTATTGTGTATGCCTGTGGGGTGTGTTCCACAGCATACATGTGGAGGTCAGAGAATGACTTTCTGGAATGTAACCACCTTCTACCTTTACAGAGGTTCCAGGAATTGAACTCCGGTTGCCAGGTTTGCATGGCAAGAGGCTTTGCCTATTAAGCCAAGGTTTGTTAGCTGAGTGAAAATATACTGACAAGTTTTCCTTTAGACATCATAAATAGGGAAATGATTATGCCTATTAGGAGGCAGAAGGACAACCTGAACTCAGGGGTTCAAGACCAGCCTGGGCATCACAGCACAAGCCCCACCTCAAAAGAAAACAAAACCCCTTAATATTCTGTGCATAATCATACCTAAGACTGTTTACAACACTTATTTGCATTGTAAAGGATCAAGGAGGTCCATCATTCTCCATAACGGCAATTAAGGGCAAGTTCTTGGGTGAAGAATTTCACGGTTAGCCTTTTAGTACCTGCGAGTTTGAGGTGAAATGATCCTCTTGCCCACATTTAACATTTTCTGTTACGTCAGTACTAGTATAATTATCATTTTCTATTTGTGACTCTTCTTTAGAATTAAAAGTAGAAGCTTGACCATAGTGACTCTGCTGTACAGAGAGTTCAGTCTCTTTATTGGGAAGACTATCATCTTTATAATATGTCTGATAGTAATAATCTGTAGCAAAAGAAAATGGCAGATTAGTGTACATAAAAGGAGTTTAATTCCAAAACATTAGCAGTAAGCACAAAACAGCATCCAATGAAAACAAACATTTACAACTGTATAGTTTTAAAGAATTATAATGCAGACACATTTGCAAAAGTATTTATCTTTAATTCCAATGTCTCCTTTAGTGCCCTAGTTATCTAACTACAAAGAAAAAAGGTAAACAAACTTAAATTTTCCACACAAAGAATGAAAAAGAAAATAGATAGATAGGTTATATTCTGTTTAAAAACCTTGGAAAGACTACCTAATGCTCATAGATCAGTAGAATTAATATTGTGAAAATGGCTATCCTAACAAAAGCAATCTACAAATTCAATGCAATACCCACTAAAATTCTAATACAGTTCTTCAAAGAAAGTGAAAAAATAATCTCAAATTTCATATGAAAACATAAAAAACCCAAAATAATCCTGAACAATAAAAGAACTGCTTGGAGGCACTACCATCGCTCATCTCAAATTATACTACAGCTATAGTAATAAAAATAGCATGGTACTGGCATAAAAACAGACATACTGATCAGCAGAATAGAACTGAGGACCCAGATTTAAATCTACGCATTTACAGTCATCTGATTTTTGACAAAGGAAGCACAAATACACACTGGAGAAAAACAGTATGTTCAACAAATGGAGCTGGTCCCACTGGATAGTTGCATGTAGAATGAAACTAGATCCCTATCTTTCACCATGCACATTACTCAACCCCAAAAGGACCTCAATTCTGAAGAGAATCTCATAAACCTAAAAAGCATCTATACAGCAAAAGACACCATCATTCAAATGAAGAGGCAACCTACAGAATGGGAAAAAAAAAAATCTTTACCAGCTATACCTCTGACAGAGTTAATATCTAGAATATTCAAAGAACCACAAAATTAAACATCAAAAAAAAAAAAAAAAGAAAGAACCCAGTTAAAAAAATGGGTAAGGAATTGAACAGGGAGTTCTCTAAAGATGAAATGCAAATGGCTAAAATACTTTTAAAAAATGGTCAACATCTTTAGTCATCAGGGAAATTCAAATTAAAATCACTTTGAGATTTCACCTTATCCAACTCAGAATGGCTAAGATCCAAAGAACAAACAACAAATGCTGATGAGGATGTGGAGAAAGGGGAACTCTTGTCCACTGCTGGCGGGAATGCAAACCGGTGTAGCCACTATGGAAATCAGTGTGGAGATTCCTCAAAAAGCTGGAAATTGATCTACCACATGATCCAGCCATACCACTCTTGGGCATATACCCAAAAACTCTATCCTACTATAGAGATACCTAGTCATCCATGTTCATTGCTGCCCTTTTCATAATAGCCAAGAACTGGAAACAACCTAGATGTCCATCAACTGATAAATGGATCATCAAAGTGTGATAAATATACACAACAAAAATATTATTCAGCTCTTAAAAAAAATGAAACCATAAAATTTGCAAACAAATGGATGGAACTGGACATAATCACCCTGAGTGAGGTAACCCAGACCCAAAAAGACAAACGTTGCATGATCTTTCTCATAGCTACATAGACACTAGTTTTGAAATCTTAGATATGTATGTTTCAATTTGAAAAATCCAGGTCAAGAAAGTAGTAAATGATTGGGGGGTGGGGGTGGGGGGTCCTGGGAGGGAAGTAGAAAGTAGGGATATAAAGGGAGAAAGGGGAGTAACAGAGTAGGAATGGGAGGGCAAGGCAGAGGAGGGAGTTACTGGGAGGGCTAAGTAGTAGGCCTTTTTAGAGAAAGTATATGGAAATCTACCACTATAGAAATGTCTTCAAGTGCATACATATACATTATAAAAAAAGATTAAAAGGTGTTACCTTGGGGAGGGGGAGTGCCCCTACTAGATATCATAGGCTATCAAAATAAAAGCCCAATGCCAAGAATGGGCTCCCTCTTTTGAAGCTGTAGACCAGGCATTCCATAGACCATCAAATAATACTGGTCATTGACCCTGCTTAGGGTTACCCACCAGAACTTCACAGTAAGACCCTACTGCTGAAGACACTACATACATGAGCTGTAGAATAAATAAGGAGAAATCCAGCTGGTGCTGACTTCAAAGATTCATCTCTACTGATTGGCTTTCATAGTGTTGGAAGGTGCTATGCATGCTACCTGAAGAGAAAATTGATCATCAACCTTATCCAGCTGTGAATCATGCCTGCTTCAACAACTGTCCTGGCAGGATATGCCCACTGGTACAATAGTGGCATGAATATTATAGACAATAACCAACTACTTTCTAACTGGATTGAAGATCTGCTTCACAGGATGGAACCCATACCTGACACTGATTTCAGGCCTAGGAACCTGAGTCTAGACAGGTCACAGGCTACAAGGGAAAGTCTAATACCATTATTCTGCTAAACAGATGAGTAGTAAAGTGACTCCTAATGACTTACTGTTATACCCATAGATGAATGCATCTCTCAACTCTCACCAGAAAAGCTGCCTTATGCAACTGATGGTGATTAACACAGAGAACCACAACTGGCCAACGTGCAGAGAATAAGAGGCTGCAGACTGCTTATCCCTGAATTGGACAAGCTATATCAAACTTCTGCCTCCTAAGGCTCAGGATCATTGTGGAAGAGGGAGCAGAAAGAATTTAAGAGCCAGAGGTGGCGGATGACCACAAGGAAACAGAGTTTTCTAAACAGCTTTGAAGTTCCTCATATGAATTCACAGCAGTGGTGACAGCATGCACAAGTCCCACCTAAGTTCAAGCCAGACAAAATCCCAGCACAGATGTGGGGAAGTGGGTAAGAAACCCCAACCCTACCTGAGGAAGTACTGGCAACTGAAAACTGCTGGGAGGGGGAGAGAGTCAATCTCATTTAAGGGTAAGACTCTTCATAGGTTGACCAGGCTCCAGTGGATGGACACACATTGAAGGACATTTGGGGACACAAATATGACTCTACAGGCCTACAGATATATTAATTAGAGTACTTAAAATTGGGGAGAAGTGAGGGTGCAGAGAGGGCAGAGGAATCTAAATATGATCAAAATAGATCATATGAAATTCACAGAAGTTCAATTTTAAAAAGGGAAAAAAATTTTTTTAATTAAAAAACTTATGAAAGCAAGGTATGGTAGCATACATCTGTGATCCCAGCCCTTTGGAGGTAGAAGCTGCAAGATCGAGATATCAAGGTCATCTTTAGCTAGCATAGGAGCCTGAGAACAATCTGGGCTGCAAGAGACCCTTATCTCAGTAACAACAAAAAAACTTAAGAACTCTGACCTTTTATCCATGCCTCTTAATATTATTACTTATAAAACAAACTAAAGACAAGCCATCAGGATTTGATTTTGTTGTCAACTTTTTTTCATGATACAGGCATCTTAAAAACTTAACACTTTATAGATACGTAAGGTTAGTACTACTGTCGCATAATTTATTTTAAATATGTCCAGAATGAAAATGAGGCAAAACTTCCTGGGAAAAAGCACTTGTGGTATTTATTAAAACTCAGCTGCTCAGCTATTTTGCCTCACAACATAGTGCCACTGATGCAGCTATGGTGGTGGGCTCCCACTCTCACAAAGCCCTGAGACCTACACTATATATAGGCTAAGGAGAACACATTAGGAAGGTTAAAAAAAAAACAAGTGTCCTTGGTCACAAGAAAGACCAGGTAAGAAAGTAGACCCCTTACTAGATGACAGCCGTTATTCAGTGAGCTGGGCATGGTAGGCCATGCCTGTAGTCTTAGGAACTCGAGAGGCTGAGGTGGGAGGAACAGTGTCTGAGAACAGCCTGGACAATACTGAGATAGTCTTTAAAAAAGAAAATGGGGGTAGAAGGAATGGTGGGAATTTTCCCAGCATTAGAAAGCCTGAGGCAGGACTGCAAGACTGAAGCCAACCAAGCCAGGTATGGTGGCTATTCACACCTTTAATCCCAGCAGTCAAGAGTCAGGGGGAGACAGATCTCTATCAGCTCCAGGTCAGCCTGGTCTATGGAGAGCTGGAGGCCAGCCAGGGTTACATAGTGAGATCTTCTCTCAAAAACAAAAACTGAAGCCAACCTTGGTTACACAGTGAATTCTAAATCAGCTTTGTCTACATACTGAGAACCCATCTCAAACAACAAAAGTTCTTCAAAAATTACTCAGTGTAACACTAAAAACATATTCAAACATTAAAGAAGTTATAGGAATTATAATACATTTATATTTTCCCACCCATAAACTGAATATCTAAGAATATCAGATGACCTGAAGTTGGTATTATACCTTTCCTCATATTTGTGTATTCATCTACTTTAAAGGAATCACTGTATGAGCAGGGTGTGAATGTTAATTATCAGTACTCTATTTACTAAATACCTGAAATGGACCAAGGAGCATGGCTTTCTGTCTGTACTTCTACATCAGATGTTTTATTATCTTCGTTTCTCCCACAATGGAGAATTTTACTAAGTTCTTCTACCTAAAAAGAAACAACGCAAACAGCACTTTAAAAAAAAGATAAACCACCAAGCACATACATCATTCTCATGATACCATCAAACATTACTTTTCTTGGTAAACATTTTTGGCATGGGCCAACTACTCACAAATTAAAGCTGATTTTTAGGTTTCCTTCCTTTTTTTCCTCTTTCCCTCCTTCCCCTCTTTTCCTTCCTCTTTAACACAGATCTCTTTAACAAGCAATCCTCTTGCCTCCGACTCCTAAATGCTTAAGATGTGTGTGCCACTGTGCCCAGTCACAATGTTTTTTGTTTTTTTTTATCATTTTTTTTAATTTTTAATAACTACATGATTAGAAGAAGCATTTCACTACAGCTTTAACATATTCAG